ATATATATATATATATATATATATATATATATATATATATATATATATATATATATATATATATATATATATGGAAAGAAAATATATCCAAATGTTTCATCAGTATAATTTGAAATGCTTTTCTAACCAGCTTAAAACTCTATCCTTCCCAATGGTGCCTGTTTGACAAGCCAAGACAGCTGTAGTTGAGAGATAGGTGTTACTGAACTTAAAAAACCAATAAATAAATAGGAAACTGACATTCATAGGTAACAAAAATAAATAACAACAGAAATGCTCAAATAAGAACCACCCACAATTTTCTTGTCGATGGAGAAGAGCGTATATGAATAAGAAAACAGAAGTGTCTCTTATTATTTACCTGCAAGCCAACTATTTGCAAATCAATTTGCAGTGATAAGATTATATGCAAAATTGAACCCCTGCAATTAAATTTCTTTTCCAGTGACAGTACTTGCAAAATCATCCTTTTTCATGAAAAAAACTCTTTCAGCCATGCTCCATGGAACCAAGACAAGATTTGTTGCCAGCGAAGAAAACAGGTTGTATTGCTACGTGGAACTTGAATCCATGAATCATCTTATAGATGATCATCTATATCATTTTTTTACTTTAAATGCTACATTGAGCATAATTTCCCCCTAACTTTTCCTCCTCTTGTTTGCTTGTTGATGTATACTCAGTCAAACACCACAAATGATGGTGCAAAACAAATGGAAGGTGTCATGCAAGAAACAGAGGCAGGAAAAGCAAAAGCATCATCAACTTGAAGATTTTGAATTCTTTCAAGCATTTATCTGAACCAACGTTCGTAATTTTGTACCGTACTAGGGTATCGAGTTCAGCTCGGTACGATACGAGTATATCGAGCGGTACGCTATATATATATATATAGTTAAAAAATAAAAAAGAGGCGACGTCGCGTCGTTTGTTCTCCCCATGCGGGTTAAGAGAAGTCGCCGACGACACCAAGGTCTCCCGACGAAGCCTCGGTGATGTCACCGAGGTTTCTTCTCGCCACGTCGAGGCTTCTTGTCCCCGCGCGGATTAGGAGAAGTCGTCGACGATGCCGAGGCCTCGTTGCCTCAAACGAGGAGGAGGCGACATCTCGTCTGCAACGTTCGATGAGGGAGGGCGGCAACGAATCAGGATCATCGAGGGAGAGCAACGTCGGATCTCCAGGTTCTCCCTTTTCTTCCTCCTCTTCTTCTCCCCCTTCTTCCTTCTCCCTCGGCTAATACCGCCCGGTAACGGGCGATGACGGTCAAAATCGACCGTCACTGGCCGATTTCGGATGGTAACGGGGCGGAAACAGCCCCAGTCGATGGTACTGCCCGGTAGCAGGCGATCCACGTATCGATCTACTGGCGGACCGGTATCATATCGAAATTAAAAACCCTAATCTGAACTACCCAAATAACCCAATGTATTATTTATTGTTTTAAGAGACCCTTTTCAGTTTTTTGAGACACTTTTTAAATAAGAAACACAGTTGATGACCATTCCTTCAGTTCTTTGGATTGGAACCCCTAATCAACATTCTAGCCTTATCTTAGGAAATAGAGAAATATCGTACAACAACTTATTGCTTTCAGTTCTATTGGTTGCAATTATCATCAACTAACAAAAACCATGCCTTTTTATTTTCTAACAACACCTACTCAACCCATGATTTGACATCACACATCTCTCCTTCGACGCCCTTAATCCACTATATACCAACAATAACAACAAAGCCTTAAGTCCCAACTATTTTGGATTGGTTGTATGGATCTTGTACCACCATTGAGATCCGTAAAAACTCATATACTTATTTAAGTTCAAAGTAATTAAATTTTTATTTATAGTTTCTATTAAAGTTTTTTTAGGTCTTCCTCGACCTCTCATCGTACCACTAACATTAATCATTTTACCTCTTTCAACTACCGCATCCGAAGGTCTCCTAGGTACATGCTCATATCATCAAACGATTTTCTCTCATTTTATCCTCTATTGAAAGAATACCTAGTTGTTCACGAATAAAAGTATTTATTTTTCTATCTTTCCAAATAATTTCATACATCCATCTCATCATTTTTATCTCGGTTAAACAAACTTTTTGAATATGTTGCTTCTTAATTATTCAACACTCAGATCCATAAAATATTATTGGTCTCAAAACTATTTTATATTTTTTTTTAATCTCAAAAATATCCGATGATCACAAAAAACTCCTAACACCTCTCATCATTTTAATCATCCTGTTTTTATTCTATGAATAGTATATTCATCAATCTCTCCATCTTGCTGAACAATTGATCTAAGATAGCTAAGGCTTTTACTTAAAGAGACTTCTTGTCCATCCAACTTAACTATATTCTCATATTTATTCCTAAAATTACTAAAATTATATTTTATATATTCAGTTTTAATCCTACTTAATCTAAACCTTTAGTTTCTAAGGCTTGCCTCCATAACTTAAATTTATAATTAATTTTACTCAAGGTCTCATTAACTAAAACAATATTATCTACAAATAACATACATCAGAGAGGTCTATCAGGTAAGTGACTAGTAAATTCATCCATTATCAATGTGAAAAAGTATGAACTTAATACGGAACCTAGATATAATCCTATACTAATAAAAAAACTCACTAGACAGACTCCCTATGGTTCTAACACTAGTAGCTACATTATCATACATATCTCTAATAACATTAATATAATTAGTGGATATATCTTTCTTTCTAAAACCTACTATAATAAATATCTAGGAACTCTATCATAAGCCTTCTCTAAGTTAATAAAAACCATATGCAAATCTTTATTTTTCTCCCTATACTTTTCTATTAATTTTCTTAATAAATAAATAGCTTCTATGGTTGATCTTTCAAGCATAAAACCAAATTGATTTTTAAATATATTTGTTTCAAGTCTTATCCTACTTTCGATAACTCTTTCTCAAAATTTCATAGTATATACCATAGTTTCCAATTTCACTAATCAAATCCCACATGACAAGCATGAGACTTGTGATCTTATCTTTTGAAAATGCATGTTCAAACCAAGTCTATTCAAAAGCTAATCAACTTCTATTGCATTGGTAAACTCCGAAATCAACAAGAAATTCATGCGATGAACTGTAGCGCCATGGTTTTTACAAAAGAAAGGTGACATAAAGGTTCAAGTGTCGCTTCTAAACTTATCAGTTGCTCTCTTGGCCATGAGCATCTAAATCTCACTTGACATACTGTCTTGTATATGAGTCCTCTTTAATTCTTCATAATATGAGTTAGTGTCAAACATCAAATTTGGCAATACTCATGCCAACACATACAGATCCTAGTTAAATACACTAGAATGAAAGTTGAAAGACTGTATCTTAGTTTCAGATACCTCAGAACTTTTGGCCTCCTGAGCAAACAATTCTCAAACTACTAACCAAAAGGTCCATAGCAGACGATATATTTATTCTCCTGAGACTTGCATCATAATTATAATGCATTCAGAAGTAACATTTATGATATAGAACTCCAAAACTAATTAATTTAAAGCAACTGGATATCTCATAAACAACAAGAAAAAGAGAGACTATAGAGGATTTTGAATGCATTGGCATATTCACATTCTTGACATGTCTCAAAACAAATTAACTATAATTTGCACAGCCTTAGTTTCAAAAATAAAATTGCATGGTGTCTTGCATTTCTTAGTCCCAACAAGAGACATAATAAGTCATGCATAACTAACAGTGACCTTGTTCTTTAACCTCGAGCACCAACAGCAACAGAGGGCACCATTACGTGGCAGGTAATGTGATCTACCAACAAGATTATCATGCTAACCACATCTAGTGAAAGAAACTAATCATCATAATTATGCATGAGTTCATTCAGAAACAATTTTGCCACACTAGGACTTAAGGTGGGCATCCACATTCCTGGCTTTCCAATTTTTCAACCATATACATAATTAGAGAATACATCTAGGCCCCAACAAAAGAAAATGAAATTACGCATAACTAACTTTGTCCATATGCTTGAACCTTGAGCACCAACCAGAAACAGAGGGCACCATTACATGGCAGGTGTCAGCATCTATCAACAAGATTATCATGCTAACCACATTTAGTGAACAAAATTATTCATCATTAACCGTCATTGGGACTTCTATCAAATAATAGTATCAGTGATTGAAAATTATTCATCAAAGATTATTATGATAGCCTATCAACAAGATTATGAAACATGAGTTCATCTAGAAAACACAATTGTACCACAGAAGGACTTCTATCGAATAATAGTAATGTAGGTAGACGTCTTAATTCCCACCCTTCCAGATCTTCGACCTTATACATAATAAGAGATTAGTTCCAGTGGATCATTCAACATCAAACCTCTCCATAAACCAAGAAAAGGAATTATTTCTATAAACAGAGAATGAAAATGGAAGGCGAGCCACTGACCAAACAACTGGCAAGCCTGCAAGACGCGATCTTGCGGCCACTGTAGCGTGAGGGGGAGCTCCAGCAGCTGGTTCCAGAAGTCGGAAGACAGCGGGTAGGGCTTCTCCCCGACGAACGCGGCCATCAGGTTCTCCGCCGCGTCCTGCGGCCTCGCGCCGCCCCTCGGCGTCGACGGCGCGGCGCCCATTTCGAAGGGAACCCGAAACGCTAGAACCCTAAAACTCCACCTCGCCCTCGATCAAAAGGGAGAAGCGCAGATCCAACGATGGAATCCCACCTCGACGTCCCCGGGAAACGAGATCGCGTCGAAGCCGACCGAATGAGGCAAGAACTTCGGATTGAAGCGAAGGGGAAGAAGAGGCGAGTTATTAATCTCTCCCTTCCTTTTTCTTCCTTTCCACTCGTTTCGATTTTATGCCATTATTTTTCCCCTTTTCTTGAGCTAATTATTTGTCGGGGGTCGGTGAAGACTAATATAATGACTAAAATACCCTCTTTCGAAATAACGGCAATCTAACTGTAACAGCGTTTTATTGTGATACGTATAACGGGAAATTTAGAAATATTGTAAACCGTTACAATGTTATATCTTTGGACAAATGTGCAAGCTTATTTTGTTGGTCTGTATTTTATGTGCAATCCTTGATTTTAGGATTTCAAAACCTTTTTATCTTTTATTTGCACCAAATAATGTTCGTCCATTGCAAATCATAATAATACATAGCAATTGCGATAACGGTTTGGAAGTAACGCGTACATTAATTTGTGTAACTGGTATTTACGTTAAGGGCGAATTCGTCCTTTTATCGGGATAGCTGTTTCGCTGTTCCAGAGTGGAACCGGATCCGGTGCTAACGGTGAAGGAGAGGCGATCTCGGCCGTTCAGTTGAAGAAGTCAATAAGTGAACGGTCGAGATGGTCGAATTGACGTGGCTAACTCGAATGGTTGGTGGGTTGGCACTCCCGAGGTTACGAGTCGATCCGATTGACTTCTCAGCAGGCAGTGCGTTGACTAAACTGCTCTCGCTTGAATCATGCTCTTCGGCCTAACCTTATATCCAATTAATTTCTATTTGGATTATCGATGTGTAATCGAAGTGTATACATGAAATCTTGGTGGAATCGATTGATGGGTGGTGGTGGAGCGATCGGTATGAGATGCAAGGGGTCAACGGTGCAACGTTATCAAATTTCTTTTGACTTTTCTGAGACGTAAGTTGGTCGCATTAACGTTGTTTCCTTGGAAAGGAGAACATCCCGTTGACTTTCAATGTCAGACCTCATCCATCCTGCATCTGCTGCTCCCAACTCCAACCATGTAATGATGGAGGCCAACCTTTATGTCTCCAACAAGGAAAATGGCCTTCATGATTTTTCGTCCTTCTCTAGCATTTAGATATCCTTTTTATCTTTATGTTTGATGTGAATGTCATATGATTAAAAGTAAAAAAATTTATAGAAATCAAAACTTTGAAGAAATTAGAGTGAAAAAATAAAATATTTAAAGGATAAATAAAGAATTAATTATAAATTATCTCCTGTAATTAGTTATTTTTAGTATTTCAATTCTAACTTTCAAAAATTATATTGACATATTTATATTTATAAAAGTAAAATATTTAATCTTATTTCTCTTCACACTATTAATTTTACATACGAAAATATTGTACGTGCTTAGTGATAAATCAAAGTGCGGTAAATATTTTATGATATTTTCATCAATGATAAACTTTATGATAAACACATATGCTCGATGATAAACTTTATGATATTTTCATCAATAAAATTGACGGTTTAAGGAAAAGCGAAACTAAATATTTTACTTTCATAAGTATAAGGATCTCATATACCAAAGATAGCTAATTGTAGAGAATATTCTATAATTAGCTCATAAATAGATAATGAATCTTTTGTTATACATCATTTTCTCTTTTCATCTTATGTTGAGTAGATTAATCGTCATAGTCTTCCTCATCTCCTCTCTTAATTTTTATTTGTATAAAACTTTTTGAGAAGATTAAGAAGGATCTATAATTTCTTTCATTTCCAATGGGGTTTATTTATAATCATCATTAAATAAATTATAAGAATATATTTAGAAATGCAAATCTAATTATACCTTGTTTATGTCTTAAGCTTTTAGATTTAATGATATTAATCAAGAATATGGCTTGTGCTTCAAACCCAATCCAAAAACTAGTCGACTAAAATAAGATAATAATCTAATCCAATATAATTTAAAGGTCATATCCTTTAAGACGAACATAATTAATATTTAGGAAGAACATAAACATATTTGGATACTTAGAAGGAGAAAAATGTTCATCTTTTGATGCATTAAGTCTAAAGTTAAATCACTATATACTGACAGTGATCATATTTAATTCTCATCGGTTGCTTAATCCAATTAATTAAAGCTTATCTTGTTGTCACCAATCTCATCCAAATGTTCATGTTTATCTAATGGAAAGAGATTTGATGATAGAGTAGTCCCTGTTAATTTCTATCATGACATCCAATGATGTGATCTCCACAGACTCCTAACTTGGATTACATAATAATTAATGATAGATTAAGGATATTTGGATCATTATCTCCTGAAATCAAGGTCTGATGGGACCAAATTATTCTTTGCTCTTAAAGTGACTAATATACCCCTCCATGATTAAAACAGTCATATTTGATCAAATCTGATGAATTGCAAGCATTAGTATTTACTCTTCATGACTCGAAGTAACATCATTATACTAATAGTAAAATAAGAATAAAAATAAATGATGATGTAATAAATGATGCTTATCATGCGGCGCCTAAAAGACTTTGAATCCCTTATCGAAGACATATAATATTATCGTATCGATCGAGGAATAAATGAATTAATCCCTCATCTTTAAAAATATTTTTTAGATTCATCCTAAGAGGATAAAATCAAACACATATCAATTGGCATAAAAATATACTCATTTGGTAGACACCAAAGACAGGAACTCTATTCCGTGTGAAGAGAGCTCCAAGAGGAGAGGATGCCAATGGGAAGAAGCCAAGCCGGCCGGAGAAACATGAACAAAGAACAAAGGCTAAATGGGATTCTTTGACTCAAAAGGACAGACTAAAATTGTTGTTTGACTATTACCACTGCTACCTCTTCGTCTCACGCACTCATCATCTCGATGCATGTATGTGTGTCTCTCCAACAATCACACTGAAATATCCACACTTGTGTGATTGTGATGTGGCTTTGGGCCTTTTACAGCATATATTATATGGTGTCAGTGTCATATAATAGCCAACTAAACAACAAGAAACCATTTTGAAATTCTCGTCCACTGTGATCCACCGATCAATACTTCCAATATAGACTTCAAAGTTATTCTATCTCTTGTCCATCAATATCTAGTAAGATCTCATTCGATAAATTTATTAATATTGATATGATAATTAAAGATATAAATTTTGGAATATTATTCGATAATTTTTTTATTTCTAAGATTGTGCACTGAAAATGATTTGGTTTGAAGTGTAACCTAATTAGAATCATTGAACTAATTCAATGATTCATCATAAAAAGTGATTTAATTTCGAAACACGAAATACTGACAATTCTGAGTAAGTTCGAAATCAATGGAGAAAACTAAATAAGTTATATAACGAAGTGACTAGGATTTATATTTTTTTTGTTTAGGAACCAAAACCAATGATTCCGATTTCATGATCAGATCCATGTAAGAATTCAAAACTATCTGATGGATCATGTAATTTTTGAATATCTCATTCCATAAAATTTTATTTTTAAAGTATTAATATGATTATTGTGCACTATACTCATTTATTAAGGATCGAATGTTGGAAGCTTAATTTGATAAATTTTACTATGATTATGGTGTACCATATGATAAGGGACCATTTGATCGGTCGACCATTGGTGCGGTCCGTAGGTTTACGAGAAATTATCCACTTTGGACGGTGGGCGATGAGCGTATTCGCACGGTTTTATAATTTCAAAGCTCGTGAACTCTAAAAGGTATCTTTGAAGATAAAAGAGACGTGGACTTATAAGCTCTTGGTTCCCATACTCCTCAACCAATGTACGACTAAATGACTTTATCAGTGCTCCCTCTCATAGGGGAGCTAAGGGCTCATAACCGAAGTGCATGTCTCAGGATCGAGTTTGACCGGCCGAGATACAAGCCTTGGCCCTCCTTCTAGCGATAATATAATAAGGGACCATTTGATCAACCGGTCATTGGTACAGCCCGTAGGCTCGTAAGAAATCGTATATTTTGGCTGATGGGTGTACTCACACGATTTTACCATTTCAAAACTTATGAGATCTAAAAGATGCCTTCAAGGGTAAGGGAGACGTGGACTTTTGAGCTATTGGTTCTCGTGCTCCACAATCAATATATGACTAAATTGTTTTATTTATAACTGAGGTGCACGGCTCGGGAGTAAGTTTGCTCGATTGAGGTATAGGCCTTAAGCCAATCTAATAAGGGACCATTTGGTAAGTTGACCATTGGTGCGGGCCATAGGCTCGCAAAAAAATGTCCACTTTGGTCGGTGGGTGTAGCCGCACGATTTTACCATTTCAAAACCTATGAGATTTAAAAGGCGCATTCAAGAGTAAGAGAGATGCGAACTTGTGAGCTCTTGGATCTCATACTCTTCGACCACTAATGTTCGACTAAACGATCTTATTATCAGACACACTTACTAAGATACTTAGAGTATGCCTGAGTATGATTTGGCTCGAATTAGAATCTAATTAAAATCGAATCAAGATGGAACTAAGTCAATGATTCGATAAATTTCAAATTAAATTGGAATGTGGGTTTGACGATTCAATTTCAGTTCTTGAATTGAATCGATGGAGAAAAAAAATAAAGAACTAAAACACAAGTAAGTTATATGACGAAGTGATTATGATTTTTATTTTTATTTTTAATCAACCAAAACTGTACGATGAATCATGAACCTTTTGAAGACATCAATTGGGTGATAGTTTTGGATCGATGGGACGATCGAGAATGCAAGAAAATACGGTGACCCACTGCAGATCATGCGGGAGAAAAGTCCCGAGTTAGGTTCTTTGGTGATGAAGTCTTGAGAACACATAATGCCTCCGTTGAAGCCCCCATGGGTGGTGGTGAATCATCCACCGGAGCTCAGGGAGGCGAGGAAAGCGACCCCATACATGGCTGCCTCACTCTCACACCCGTCTCACAAGTGCAGGTACGAAATGAACCCCACGCCCCTCGCTCTCTCTCCTACTCATCTTCCCTACCACCTCCTCAACCTATGCTGCCCCGTCACCTTCGTCGCCAATTTCCTCAGAGGATTCTGATGTCCCACGCAGCTGCATTATTAGGGCTAATGACACCTCGTCCTTCTAATGGCGATGGGGAGACGACCCCACCACGACTGCTGGTTTTTATGGTGCGACGGGACCAGTGCTCACTGACGAAACGGTCGCCATTCGTGAACAGGTACACGATTATTAGGTTGGTGAGGATGAGGATGCCGGTGGGGACTGCTCTCGAGCAGTCAGTGATGGAAGGACATGTGCTCTTCTTGCTCCAATGCGAATGCTTCGCCGTCGGCGCCATGTCGGCGAAGCCGTGCGCGCCGACGGGCGAACGTGGTGCGCGCACCAGCTGCTCGATGAATGGTCAAAGAAAGGCTTCCACGTGAGAGCTTAGCTGGTCACGCTGTTGATCGTTGATGGTGAGATGTTTACATTGATTCCCATCTTTTTCATTGCTTACGCTTATGAACAACTCTACAGAGATTAATGATAATAGTTACTGAAAGATGTTTTCTTTATGCCTTTCAAGATGAGCCCATTAAGGATCCCAAACCATTGGAAATCATGCATTTAGAACTATGCAGACTTAAAAGCACCCATAAAATTTCTCACCGTTCTACATTACACATCAGACTGGTAAAGATCTACAGCAACCGCAACACAGCCCAAGAGTTATAGGAATCAGTGATCCACCTGGTGATCTTGAAGGGCCAGCCAAAAGCCGAATGAATCCTAAAGCCCTGTGTGAGGATTCCCTCACCTGATTCACTCAAACAAACCCAGGCACACCTTCTTAGGACAGTAATCTCACCCTAGTGGAGGAAATAAAGCACAAACCAGCAACACAAGGAAAGGAGACAGACATGGTTCCCATGTAGCCCCTAACCCACACTGATGCAAATACAGTTACCTATACACATCGAGACTTCAGAAACCAAAGCAAGGAAAGAGATGTCTCTCTCGCACGTACCCGCACACACATCGACATCTTTATCTTTTTGTTCCTTTATTAACTTTTTTTTTTCTTTTTTGCCTTCCACTGCACCCATGGTGATGCTGCATAGAGAAGTATACGTCAAATTGACCGCGGGCAGGGCCGTGGGGTGGAGATACTGTAGGCTGCCTGGATTTGGGCAGCTCTGAATATCTTATTTTTATGCATATTTTGGTTTTCTGGATTGGCATTGGATTGTGGGTTCATAGGCCTCAAAGAAAAGAGGAGAGGAGGAAGGCTCAATGCTTGCACTTTACTCTCCAATGGATGCTTAGTGTGCTGCACTCTGAGCTGGTGGTTTAGAAAACCGGAGACAGTGTCTGCATCCTTCTTTTATTCTCTGCTGGTCTCTTTCTTTGATTGTTAAACGCCCACATTGCTTTGTTTTCTCTTCAAAATCAGACTTTTCACTCCTCTGCCTTGGGTGTTCGTATCACAGTCATGCTATCTGGATTCCTGGGCTTCTTTGCTTTTCCAAGGTTTTAGATTCAGAACTCTTCTGAGGAAGGGCAAAAAAATGAATCTCTTTCCCCCCCCCTCCTCTCCTTTCAGATTCCAGTAGCCGGTTGTGTTCTTGATCCGTTTTAAATGGTCGGAAGATCACGCCACATCTTTCTGTTCTAAGCTTGACCTTTGGTTTCTGATCTTTCTTTCTGAAATAGATCAGAATACTTTTTTTTCTGGGACTCTTTTTCTTAGCCTTCTCCACTAGTATCAGAAGAGAGAATAAGAAACTAATTTCTTTTGGGCGTTTGTTTTCCTCATTTTTCTCTCGCAAGACCCAGATTCCTGCAGACCCTTGGTAGAATTTTGGGACCTTCCTCTTTGTGGCTGTATGAAGAAGTGCTGAAACAATGAGAGATGAGAATCCAAAGAAAAGCAAGGTTTTCCGGCGGAAAAAGATAATTTTTGGTTTCCATGCCTTCAGTCTTTAAGATTGCTGACTTACTCATGCTTTCTTTTCTTGTTTTTGTGGGAGAAGCTGTCATGGCCCAAGACCCTTGTTAAAAGATGGTTCAACATCAAGAGCAAAGGTCGGGAGCGTCATGCAGATGATGTTGCTGATAGAGGTTTGCCTGATTTCTTCTGCTCACATCACAATTTGTTTAAAGAGATCATCGTGGGCTAAGAAAATTCTAGTCTGTGGATCTTGGATCACTGCTTTTCTGTGATAAAGATCTCAACTTCCCCTTGATTGCTTCCCGAATGTGTTGCTACTTGATCGTCTTCTAATTGCTTCCTAGTCTAAGAACATAATACATATAACAATAATCGAATCCCAGCTTTCTTTCTTCTTGTTCTTGGTTACCGAACCTGGGTTATCTTCACAGGAGATAATAGGCAGTGGACGGCCAACTTTTCTGAGAGGGAGACATGTACTGTCAAGAGAAGCAGCACAGGTTACAGTCCGGAACCCCATCTGCTTCTCAGATTTGGACCACATCTAATGACAGTTGTCGTTCATTTTTATCTTTTCCAAAGTTCCTCCTTTCTCATTTAGTTTCGGGTGGCTCCTCAGATAGATTGTCCAGGAAGCACATAGATCAAATTCAGCAAAGAACGTTTGATCCTCATTCCGCTCAAGTTGCAGATGTTCAGGACTACAAGTAATTCAGATCTACTCACCCCACTCTGAGTCTCTGCAACATGGTAGTTGATCTTTATTATGTTGTTCTCTTGGTCTCTAGGATATTTGTTGCAACTTGGAATGTAGGTGGGAAGTCCCCACCAAGAAATTTGATTCTCTTGGACTGGCTTCATTCTTCTTCTCCTTCAGATATATATGTTTTGGGGTTAGTTTTGGAACTCCGTTTTGCTACTAATCAGTTTCGATCTTTTATCCATCTTTGGATGACTATAAATTTCTAACTGTCCATGTTATTTTCAGCTTCCAAGAGATTGTTCCACTAAATGCTGGGAATGTTCTCGTCACAGAAGATAATGGTCCAGCAAAGAAATGGCTGTGGCTTATTAGGAAGACTTTGAACAGTCCTGACACCTGCGGGTCTGATAGCTATCACACGCCATCACCCGTTCCATATCCTATCTTGGAGTTGAATGCTGATTTTGAGAGGTTCTCAGTGAGGCAGAAAAATTCGTCATTTCTCCATCGACGTTCCTTTCAATATCCAAGTCATAGTTTAAAATTTGAAGGGGATACTATATTACCCCAACAAATGATCGAGCACCGATTCAGTGTCTGTGATAGGGTTAGCTTTGAGAGCAGACCAAGTGATTTTGATTCCAATTTTAGGTGTGAAGGTTCATCTGATGATGAGAACATTGGTGAGGAGTCACCTACTGACATGTTTAGTTCACCAAATTCGTATGGCTATGGTGCTCCTCCACATGTTGAAGAAAGGGATAGGCTATCTGTGAACTCTAGGTAATCTTTCCTTTGTTAAATTCTTATACACCTTTCCATTCTCTTCCTTAGATATCTCTAAATTGATGTCTGCCATTGCTTGATTAGCATATAAGTTAACCCTGTGATATTCTTAGGTATTGTATGGTTGCGAGCAAACAAATGGTTGGAATATTTCTTACAATTTGGGTGCGCAGTGACATTAGAGAAGACATTAAGAACTTGAAGATTTCTTGTGTAGGCAGGGGATTAATGGGTTATCTTGGAAACAAGGTAATCCCACATATGATTCTCCAATACGCGTACTATATCCCCTTTCTGTATTGATTCAAACATGAACAAGGATGTTTCTACTACGGCTCTTTGTTTTTCTCTATTGAAAACATGAGAATCATGCTAAATATCCCGGGTTTTGATTCTTCTTGTTTTTGTTAGAACACCATGACAAAAGAGAAGGTTTTGTTCTTGTTTACAGGGTTCCATATCGATCAGCATGTCCTTTCACAAAACAAGTTTCTGCTTCATCTGTAGTCATTTGACCTCAGGGCAGAAAGATGGGGATGAACTGCGTAGAAATTCAGATGTCATGGAGATTCTAAAAAAGACTAGATTCCCACATGTGCAGAGAAGTGATCGTGACAAGTCTCCTGAAACAATTCTTGATCATGAGTAAGTCCATTTCCTATTAAGGAAATACATGGCAACACTTTCATCGAACTTATGCTCATTTTTCTCTCTTATTTCAGTCGCATAATATGGCTTGGGGATTTGAATTACCGCATTGCTCTTTCATATCGGTCAGTGAAGACTCTAGTTGAAATGCGCAACTGGAGAGCTTTGTTGGAAAAAGATCAGGTGGCTTACCGACAACTCTTTAAGTCCTATGTTAGTTATAATGTATAAACTCCTTATTGTTCTTTCCAATTCATTGATTTTTTGAGAATGTGTCATGTTCTGTTGATTATTTTATGGAAGATGCATGTGGATTCTTGTGGCTTACATAAAGTTTGATTCTTTTAAGTCCATTCCTATCTGTTATAAAAGTTTGGGCCACAAATTCATTTACTTGTTAAACAGCTCCAAATAGAACAACGATGTGGCCGTGTATTTGAAGGATGGAAAGAAGGAAGGATATATTTTCCTCCCACCTATAAATATTCAAATAATTCGGATCGATATGCGGGGGATGACACAAACCCTAAGGAGAAGCGACGAACACCTGCATGGTAAAATAATTTTATCTTTAGGCATGCATTAGTCTGAATTTGAACCTCACAGGACTATATGCTGATTGAAGGTGTGACCGTATATTATGGAATGGAAGAGGCCTTAATCAATTGTCTTATGTTCGAGGAGAGTCGAGATTCTCTGACCATCGACCTGTATATAGCATTTTCACAGCAGAGGTTGAAATGATGAATCATAGCTACCTCAGGAAGAACATGGGTTATTTTGGCTCTCGTGTGGAGGCGGAAGAACTGTTACCACACTCTCATGGTTATACAGAGTTAAACTACTGCTAGGTTTCCTGCCAAATTAAGGTACATTATCTTTTCTTTATTATACAATAAGCAGAGTAATTAATTTCTTAAGTGGTATCCAATAGGGAAAAGCATATATAACCAAATAGTTGAATATACTTGTGCGAGAGACAAATTTACGTACCAATTAAGAGGCTTAAGATTCTATATTATTTATTCTTCTTTTTAATTTTTTTCCTCTTTCACAATTGGTTAACTAGAATTCTTGTGATGTCTTACTATCTCACTCTTTCCTCTGGTTAATGTAGACATTCTGCTTCACTTCAAACTACAAAGACTATTCTCAACCTCTTTGGAAATCAGCATGTAGTTCTTCAAATCAAGCAAATAGGTATTGACTTAATCAAACTCGATCTGTACATTGTACAACATTTTCTTTATCTTCTCATCAGTTCTTTTTCTCCTATGCAATCAAGTTGAAATTTCCATGATGAACTTGGACTAATTTCATTCGTGACTTTCAGAGGCCAAAAAGAGAGCATTCATTTATTGGAAACTAGAGATGAAGGTAACTCCTCTTACCTGTGTCTTTCTCTGCATTATGTGCACCATCAAATGATTTACCCTTTGCATTTTGTGCTTGTATATTTGGTTCTAGCAGGAAAAGCAGATGGTCGTTTTGCTGCTGTCCAAAATCTAGTCAAGAAAGATGTTTGAGAGAACTAAACCAGAATAGGTCAGTTACAACATCTACAGAAAGCTTGCTTCACTCACTAAAACCTAAGCAATCCTACTAGCAGCCAGATGATAGTTCCCAGTTGAACAAGAATACTCTCAAAATAAAGATACATTGAACCAATAAGAAGATGAGACACTCCTATTGCACCATCCAACCAGTCTGAAGTAGCCAAGTGAGCATATAACTTTTTTTCTTTTTGAATTTAATTTTTATTTGTGACATCATTCTTCTCAAAATGAGTGCAGAAATTTTGTAGAGCAAGAAGGGTGAAGTACAGTCAATAATAATGTGCATAATTCTTTTCTTTTTTGTATTGAGAAGAAGGATGAGTTCCTGGTTCATACTCATTGCCATTGCGCTGGTGATAGAAATATGTATCAGTCATAAATTGTTCGGAGAGCATGGTATACGTTTTATGAAGCAAACACTTGACGCCATTCATTGTCTACTAATTCTTTTTGTACAAGGGAGGAACATTAAAATGAAGAAGCGAGACAGATTTGATCAGATTGAAGAAAACTAAGTATTTCCCATCATAAATCTTTTTAAAACATTTAGTTTATAAGGATATGAGCCATAAATCCGGTGCATGATCTTCCTGAGGTGGACAGGAGGCAGTAGAACAATCCAAATGTCTTATTATTGTATCCAATAATAATTCAGATCGCCTGAGGGAGGCATATCTGGATCACACAAATCATACATATCTGTGGTTTTAACGTACATGAAGAGAAGTCTTCCTGTCGACAAGCTCAGAATGTGATAGACGACACCCAAAGAGACGCCACCGCGAAGAGCAGCGAGTAGACGATCGATGATGGCACTTCGGTACGCGACCCACCCGATGTGTCCTGCGTGGGAAGAGTCTTCGATCCACCATCTGCGTTCACGTTGCAGTCGACGAACATGCTCAGAAAAGTCGCTGAATTCACATGAATGAGAGAAGAACAGAGTTGTACCTGCGCTGGGCACTGATGGCGTGGTCGGAGATCCGCTGGGCGCTCCGGCCGCTGCCAAGAGACAAAAGTTGCAGCTAAAACTCGCGAGACATTTCGACAAACAGTAGCAGTAGTTACTGAGTTCCGTGTGATATGCTTACAGCTGCATTCGCTAACTGGTGGCGTCTTGACGTTGCAGGCGGTGGGGAGAGCCAGGGCCTGAGTCTGGTTGATGGTGATGCCGAGCGAGGAATCTCCGCCGTTGAGGACCATGCAGAGGCACTGCGGCTCCGAGCCGACGACGCTGGCCAGCTGCGAGCAGCAGGAGCTGGAGGGGGTCGTCTCGTTGCCAGTGATGTAGTTGAGGCAAGGGGACAGGCTCACCAGGGCGGACGTGCAACCGCTGGACTGAGCTGAAGCCCCGGCGCACAGCACGGCCACGAGGACCAGCACAAGACCCATGTGGGAAGCTCTCCGAGCCATGATTCTCTTGTTGCTCTTGCTGTTGTTGTTGGTCGAGGTGAAGGGAGAAGAGCAGAGGGCATGGCGATCTTGTAGGGGAGGGAGAAGAGAGAACGCATGGGCTTGTGGGTGACCTGCTTCTCCTACTTCCTAACGAACCGAGGAAGAATGGGCTGGTCAATAGAGACTCGAGTATTGTTTAGCGCATCTGCTACCCAACTTATGTCGACGACTGTGTCGGCCATGCTACAAGTTGTCATCTCTTCTGCTTGGCCAGCCTATCGCTAAAGCCTCTACGTTGCAATATGCATACATATATTATTATGGATGCATATATTATTATATAAACATGTATCCATCAAACACCCATTTTTAATTAGAATGGCTACAAATAATGACTTTTTTTTTTTCCTTATTTTCTGTTAAAATAATAATTCAAATTATCTGAGAGGTGGTGGCAGAATCTTACAGGAATTAGGTCACCCAACAAATGATGGCTTATGCTACTTACATTACCCACTTCCATCTAATCCCACAACTAATTATACCTACTACCAAACACCTTAAGCTACATTTCAGCATGCCATCTTCTCTGTCACAGGACAAGCCAATTTGTCCAGTCTTCTGTCTGCAGCAGCCGTCAGTAGGAAGGTTTGGCCACCAACACGAGCCCAAGCCACCTATTTAAAGCCCTTCTTCACACACCTTCCTCCCAATCCACGAGCTCAACCTACACTCAGCAACCTCCTCACATTCCGAGGCATCTCCGGCGATCGGCGAAGACGAGAGAGATGGCCAAGAAAGCGTTCCAGGTCGGCCTGGCGTTGGCCGTCATGACCATCGTGCTCTCGGGCCTCGCTTCGGCGCAGTCCGGCTGCACCACCACGATCATCAGCCTCGCGCCGTGCCTGAACTACATTACCGGCAACTCGTCCACTCCCTCCTCCTCGTGCTGCTCCCAGCTGGCCAGCGTCGTCCAGTCCCAGCCGGCGTGCCTCTGCTCGGTGCTCAACGGCGGCGCCTCCTCGTTCGGGATCACCATAAACCAGACCCGAGCCTTGGCCATGCCCGCCGCCTGCAATGTCCAGACGCCGCCGGTCAGCGAGTGCAACTGTATGCGCCACTCTGATCCCATCCCATTCCATTCACGTAGTGAGTCTCGAGCCTTGTCACATGAACTGATGATTTATTGATGGTTGTGGCAGCTGTGGCCGGTGGACCGGAAAAATCCCCGACAGCTTCACCGGCGACTCCAGCAACACCGGTCCCGTCCACACCATCATCTCCGAAATCAGGTACAACAATACTGACTTCCTTAAGAGTCAAATCGATCCAGAGCAATTGAAATAGAGACGATTAGTTGCAGAAGACAATTAGAATATTTATGGTTGCTTGTTCTTAACGGTGCAGAAGGTGGATCGAAGGCAACCCCGGCGACTACCTCAGATGGCAGTTCTTACAAATCATCTCGTTCTCTGATGCTTTCAATCCTCTTCCTCGCCGGTTGCGTCTCCTTCACCGGCCTCTGAGTCCACCGCAACAAGAACTGGATCATCACTTCACTTCACTGCCGTTCATTTATTTATGAGCATCTGTCTGTGTCAACTCGAATTCGTTATCTTCTCATGTTTGCACTGTATTGAAGTGATTTGGAGTTTGTTGTACTTATTCTTAGTTGAGCTGATTAAAAGATTATTGGTTTACTTATAATATTAATTGATATCGAGTACTGTAACCTAATAATTTTTTTATAATAAATTTAATCGAGGTAGAATATTCTACGATATAAATGAAATACAAGAAAAATATTATTTTGATTTTTTTAATTTTAAATTGATATCGACATGATCGAAACATGAATTACGATACTACACGTCGAGTCATGGAAATGAATATTTTTTCTATTAATATCCGTACATTCATAATCAAAATTTAGTATTCTACAATAATAAAAGAATAATTAAGATAAGTTACATTAATATTTTATCTTTGAGTTAAATCTGAGCTGGATTATGGCACCAAAGTTACCTACTTCCATCTAATGCCTTTACTGATTATATCAAACATCATAACGACCCAAGTATATAAATAATACTTAATACATAGCATCCTCCATTTCATAGAATAAGCCAATCACCAGTCTTTTCTTAGTAGGAAGGTTTGATTACCAACATAGGCCCCACTCTGGGTCTCCCTATCACCGCCGTCACCACCACCACCACCGACTATTGAAGTCCCTCACGCCTCCCTCGCAAAGCCCAAGCCCAAGCTGCACTTCAGAACCACCTCCCGTTCCAAGGCATCTCCGGCTAACAGCCACGAGGTGCGAGATGGCCCAGAAAGCGTTCGAGGCGGGCGTCGCGTTGACCGTCATGGCCATCATGCTCTCGACCCTCGCTTCGGCGCAGTCCGGCTGCACCACCGCCATCATCAGCCTCGCGCCGTGCCTGAGCTACATCACCGGCAACACCTCCACGCTCTCATCCTCGTGCTGCTCACAGCTGGACAGGGTCGTCCGGTCCCAACCGGCGTGCCTCTGCTCGGTGCACAACGTCTGGGCCTCCTCGTTGGGGGTCACCATAAACCAGACCCGATCCTTGGCCATGCCGGCGGCTTGCAACGTCCGGACCCCACCGATTAGCGAGTGCAACTGTAAGCACTCTGATCCCTTCTCCTTCAAGTAGCAAGTCTCGATTCACGTTTCACGGACTGATGAGTGATTGATGATTGCTGCAGCTGTGGCCGGTGGGCCAGCAAAATCCCCGACGGCTTCACCGACGAGTCTAGCGACACCGGCCAATCTCGCAAGAGGGACCCCATCCACACCATCATCGCTTAGGGCAGGTCCAATCACGCACAACTCCTGAGAAGATTAGTCGCAGCAAACAACCAAAATATGCATCATTGACTTCATCTTGTCTCTTAATGGTGCATGCAGAAGATGGATCGATGGCAACCCGGGCCACGACCTCAGATGGCACTTCCTACAAATCACCTCCCTCTCTGATGCTTTCAATTCTCTGCCTCGCCGCCTGCGTCTCCTTCGCCAACCTCTGACTCGACTGGGAGAACTCGATGATGACTTCCTGCTGCCGTCGATCATTTGTTCGCATGCATCTGTTTGTGTCAACTCGGATTCTTTCTTTTCAGCTTCCTCGTTGCTGCTCTGCATTGAATGATTTGGAATTTGATGTACTTAATTATCCTCTGAGACGATTAAAAGATTGATTGATTTGCTCATAGCTTCCTTGAATCATTAGAAGTCAATTCCAATTAATGAATGGCAGGACCCTTTCTTTCGACCATAAGTATTATTTGAATGATATCATCCAAGTTTTTCTAAGATTTTTTTTATTTAATCATCCAATCCAACTTGAAGGATATAAGCATGAATAATATTCAAAACATATTATCTTTCATAAATTGTAGAGCTATAATTACATATTATCTTGTAATTTCGAACACTGAAATGGTAAAATATATCGTATCTCATGAATAAAAAATAATATAATATATTTATTTTATAATATTTTAATATTAAAAACTATACATTCAATTAGATAAATATTTAATATAATAAAATTAAATTAACATGACCTCACACGATCTTAGATCCAACGAAATCAGGATCCGATATATGACCCGATTAAAATCACGTATAATAGCCTAATAACTTAATAGTTGTTGGGTAGATGTAATCATTATTTGCTACACCAATTTCGTTATCGCTGTCTCCCTTTTCTTTCAATGATATGGCGAGCTCATAAGCTAAATAAAGTCTACAAGCAAATAGTATAGATATGTCCATCATAATCAACGCCTAACACCCGAGACTGCAACTTAACAACATCTCGATGCAGAATCTAAGAAGAGCAAGTTGGATTTATGCTACTTAGATTACCTACCTTCATCTAATGCCCTAACTAACTTGATCAAACACGTAACGACCCAACTATAATGATACTTCAACATGGCGTCTTTTATTGCATAGATTAAGCCAATTAGGTTCCAATCGACACCGGTCTTTTTCTTAGTAGGAAGGTTTGGCCAACGACACGAACCCAAATCACCTATTTGAAGCCCTTCACACCGTCCTCTCATTCCACAAGCTCAACCTGCACTCAGCAACCTCCTCACATTCCGAGGCATCTCCGGCGATCGGCGAAGACGAGCGAGATGGCCAAGAAAGCGTCCGAGGTCTGCCTGGCTTTGGCCGTCATGACCATCATGCTTCCCGGCCTCGCTTGGGCGCAGTCCGGCTGCACCACCGCCATCATCAGCCTCGCGCCGTGCCTGAGCTACATCACCGGCAACTCCTCCACGCCCTCCTCCTCGTGCTGCTCCCAGCTGGCCAGCGTCGTCAAGTCCCAACCGGCGTGCCTCTGCTCGGTGCTCAACGGTGGCGCCTCCTCGTTCGGGATCACCGTAAACCAGACCCGAGCCTTGGCCATGCCCGCCTCCTGCAAGGTCCAGACGCCGCCGGTCAGCGAGTGCAACTGTAGGCGCCACTCTGATCCCATTCCGTTCCCGTTCTCTATACTATCTTGTTGACTGGACTGATGAGCAATTAATGGTTGTGGCAGCCGTAGCCGGTGGACCGGCAAAGTCCCCGACATCTTCACCAGCAGCACCGGCGACTCCGGCCAATCCCGCACCAGCGACGCCATCATCTCCGAGGGCAGGTACGTTTATTCTGCGTTATATGAAGACATCACCGCGTGCAGAACAAGACAGAGAAATATGGTGACGTTGTCCTAATGGTGCAGAAGGTGGATCGAAGGCAACCCCAGCGACGGCTTCATATGGCACTTCTTACACACCAACTCGCTCTCTGATGCTCTCAATCCTCTTCCTCGCCGCCTCCGTCTTCTCTACCAGCCTCTGAGTCTACTGCCATTAATTTCTTGCACCTGTCTGCATCCTTCCTCATGTGTGCTCTGCTATGTAGCTGTGATGTGGTGATTCGTTGTACCATTCTTAGATTATCCGAATAAAAGATTACCAGTTTTCATTATAAACCTGCTAAGATCACGAGAAGAATCTGACGTCGGAGTGACTAATGACAAGTTTTATTTTTATTTCACGCACACAAATGATAGTGAGCAGAAATCCAATCTTACCACAACAGTGCTACAAATTGCATATCTCCATCATTTTCCTTTGTGTTTCTTTAATATATTATACACAAAGCTCAGACTCCCAACTTAAACCTCAACCTACTCAATGCATTGTTTGGAAGCAAGCTTGACGAAGCCTTGGCATGAGAGCCAAGTCATTTGCAGCCCAATACCAACTTCATTGCCACTTCCCTCCGTATAAATACCCACGTATGGCCTCCTCTTTCTCCATCCTTCGTGTATTCGTCTTCAACACTCTGTAAACCTAATGGCTTTCCTCCCTTCTCCCCGAAACTACGGCTTCCCTTTCTTCTTTTCTCCACCACCTCCCAAGGTGTCTCCATTCAGGGCACCGCCGCCATCTCCAAAGGTGTCTCCTTTTACGCCTCCGCCACCATCACCTTCGAAGCAAGCACCACCGCCACCACCTCGTCGTAGCCCTCCACCTCCGTCACCTTCAAAGCAAGCACCGCCGCCGCCACCACGCCGCAGCCCCCCGCCACCTTCACCCTCAAAGCAAGCACCCCCACCGCCACCCTCCCCTTCAAAGAAAGCTCCCCCACCGCCACCAAAGAAGATGGCCCCGCCTCCACCAAAACTGTCGCCGCCACCACCACCTCGAACCCCTGTCCATCCTCCACCAGCCCCAGTGGCACCACTGCCACCAGCACCACCCCACATCCCCCCACCGTCGCCTCCACCACCAAGCCCGCACCACACCGTAATCATCGTCGTGTTCGTTTCCCTTGGCGGCCTCTTCTTCCTCGCATTCCTCGCGGCGGCCCTCTGTTGCTGCCTCAAGAAGAAGAAAAAGAAGATGGCCGCCAAGGCGGAGGTCGTGGACGTCGAGGACCACGTGCACATCCATGAGACTGTCGTTCCAGGACCCCATGGCGAACAACTGGTGGCCCTGTCGATCGACGAAGACATCAAAGTCCACGAGGTGATCAAGAAGGGTGAATTGATCGGCGAGACCTCAATCAGGGAACCTGCACTGGAACGACCTCATCCAAACGACGAAGCCACTGCAGGTTCTTCCGGAACCATTCACCGGAACCTTGTTGAACACAGAAATCAGTAGGCGACTGACGGTGAGAAGTGCGACTGATTCGCCAATAAGGACATGCTCGTGTGGAGTGAAGCTGTTCGATGTGGTTACTGTTGTGTTCATTGTCATATGTTGTGTTTATTGTGATTCCTTTATGTCCATATCATCTGGCAAATTATTCTAATGTTATATCATTTATTAGATCTGAGTTCATTTAGTAAGTGATGAACACAACCTTCGATAAACTATCAAGATTAATACAATACTATTTCAAGTTAGAAGATTAGTTTTTGAAGATTAATCGGAGGCTTTTTCCTTGTCAATAAAACAACACAACACAACACAACAAGCATAATGGACTTCTTCTTCGTCGGATGCACAGAGTCCAGCTTATGCAAACGACTGCTCTTCTGGCCTCCATGAAGTTACTCTTCTTCTACTGAGAAGCCACTACTTACTGCAACCTACTCTTACTGCAAATGGCAGGTGGATCAGTATAACATGTTTCCATCACAAAAAAGAGAAGAACAAATCCGATACACAAGACTCCGACCATATCGCAAAGTGGCAAACTTATTATTAGTCTACCTAAACTCTTCAAGTTTTACTAGACAGCAGTTGCAGAAGAGAAACACATCTTTCATAGAAAGAGAAGTAGATTGCACCTTTCATCCAGTTTTTGGCAATCTATTACCCCAAAAATTACCAACTGTAGCATAAATAAAAGCATAAAACATAAGAATCCTGGATTGCCAATCCATACCATGGTTTACATAAGAACAACAATAAACAAGCAGCTCAAAGGGATTTCAGCACAGCAATACAAGCACCACTGTCCTGAAGAGTCGAACGCTTTTTCACATGCTAGCTAGCTACATAATAGATTCCCTGGTACGACCTTATTCTCACACAAGAGCAAAGAGTTCTCGCGGTTAGTCAGCCGTCCAGCTCTGCTCCACGATCTCACGAACTCTCCGGTTATATTCACGCTTGTTTTCGCTGAACAGCCGAGCTGCCTCAGAGTTTGCAGGCGAGTTTGGATTTGGATCACAGAGCAGTGACTGCACAGGAAGATTGTGAAAACACTGGGAAAAAGGTGGTAGATCTAATTCTAAATGAAAAAAAGCAAAGGTGATCATAGACCGCATAAAACTTCTCCCCTCTTCTTGGTCCGTCTTCCATTTATGACCAGAATCAAAATGCTAAGACTTTCTGCAGGATCCTTTAGTTTATAACACAACGTAATCTACTCCAAGGCACATTTTATAATAACCCAATTAATTATACTAAATGATTGTACACACTTATCCAAGTTCACAATCAACTAGAAAAACATGCTACAAAACTTTCCAAGGGCTCCCAGCAACAGTTTGATCGTTGATAAAGCTTTTATGCTGATCAATTTGATTGAGATGTACTACTTTCCAATCATATCTGATTTGGATTTTATTGGTCAAAAGATGAAGAGGCTATGTATTTACCTTATATTCTATAGTTGCTTGAATCATAAGTTTATATTCCATTCTAACCCTTCAAGGACATAATTTTTTTCTAAGAGAATATGGTTCTACGGAGATATGAGACAGGCAAACTATGAGACAAAAACTGCACAGAAGTTTCTCTTACTATTGTAAATCTTCTAGTATAAGCTAAACAGAGTTTGTTGGTACCATTTGCAGGTAACAAAAACAAATTCTTAAACATGCCTAATAGGTCAGACAAAGACTCGAATAATGAAAGTCACTACTTTATCAGATACTAACAAGGAAAGATCAAGATCATTTTTGCATGCTTGTGATCGATCATAAAATGTCAAACATCAAAGAGTATTACGGCAGATCATATAATGAAGCACGAGCTTCTCAAAGAACTAAAGAAGGCTACAAGAAAAACAGAGGGAACTAATAGTCAATCTGTATGGTTCATTTTGTAGGGTGTCATCACTGCCAACCAAAATCTGAATCAAATCATGACCTAAAATTATAGGCTTAGCTTTCTAATAAAACAATTAACGTGGTTGTAACTCTCCAGAAGAATTTCAGAAAATACAGTTGTGAGGTGACAGGTAACCTAGAACAGTAATAGATGGCATATTAAATGAAGTTAAATCCCATATGGCACTAAAAGATATATATATTATATGTCGAGAAGGCTCCACAAAAGGCATAACATTCTTTAATGAATAAAAGACTTTGGCATGATGTCTACAGATTTCTATGGTAAGGTTTCTTGTTAAAAAACAGAGTTACTTTGTGATCAAGATATGTACCAAATATACCACTCTTTCTGAACAGTCGAAGAGAATAAAACACTTGCCTGTATAGAAGTGAGTATTGCAGCAACATCATATATAGGACTCCACTGATTCTGTAAAATATCCAAGCAAATGCTTCCATCTGCATAGACTGACGGAAGCCACAGAGACAAGGTTTTGTGAGACGTTTTCTCATATATTTTATGTCAAAGTGCTAACAGGTGAAGGAAAATCCACTTACAAAAGGATTTAAGAATTGATATGATCTGTAGTTGGAGCAAGCCAGAGATGTACATAGTAATAACAAATGATCAGTAGTTCATGATGGAAATGATACTTACTGTTTGGATGGAACATACGTGAGACAAATCGAACAGTAGGTGGCTTGTTAGGGTAGTCCTCAGTAAATTGCAAAGTTAGCTTGAACGTCCCTATAGTATAACAGTAAGTAAATAATATTACAAGGAAGTAGAGTATAGTCATAATCACACAGTCGGCACATCATCTTTCAACTAGTTTCTGGAAAAAAAGAGTTATTATAATAGAATTTAGACAAATGCAGACCTATGAACTGGATTTCACAAATAAAAAAGACCAGAGGTTCTTATTGATGGTTTGGAATAAAGTATTATTATTCCAGATTGATTACCATAAGAAATTATACTTCACAGGATAGACTTTTATCATAATGGCACCACTATTTAAATTGCAAGTAGCGGAACAGATCATGGTAAAAAAAAAATTGATTAAAGCAAGGTTCGTAATTTCATACCGTACCGACGTATCAAGCTTTGCTCGGTACGGTATGGTATGGTACGAACGTACTGAGCGGTATGCTAGGGTATACCGCTCAATACGTATATATATATATATATATAAAATAAAAAAGGAGGCTTACGGTGCCTCCGCAATGTCGCTTCCTTTTCTTCTCCTTGTCGTGTCAGACGAGGAGAAGAACACGGTCTTCTCATTTGCGGTGTTCGACGAAGACATCGAAGGCCGCAGATGTCTCCGGCCTTCGGCGAAGGAGAAGCCGAGCCGCCGCCTTTCCATTACCTCCTAGATTGGGATCGTTGAGGGGGGCAGCGTTGGATCGGGAAGCGCCGAGGTTCTCCCGATTCTCCCTCTTCTTCAAGCACCTTCTCCCTTTTCTCCCTCGATGCTGCTTCTTCCCTTGCCGCAACCAGGTTGATACCACCCGGTAGCGGGCGGCAACGGTTCAAATCAACCATTACCGCCCGATACAATCTCGTATCGTCCGATACGGGGCTAAATCAATGCTATTCCCCGGTAGCGGGTGATCCGCGTACCAGTCTGCTGGCGAACTGGTACGGGCGGTATCATTCAGTATTGTAATCCTTGGATTAAAGTTATCTGCAACGTGAAGCCCAATGGAGGCAGTTTCACAGGAAAATTAATGTGGCAAAAGGATTTTCAATATATCTAGGATAAACAGAGGTAAAAGTTCCGTTTAATGATTACTGTTCACAGTTCAAATGAGTAGGTAACAAAACAGTAAAATAACTTAAACACATTTCTACATTCATATAAAACATCACAATCTTGTAGCCTTTACTTAAGAAAATGCTATTTAGTCCCTGTCAACTATATGAAAGACTACATTTTTCTATGTTCAGTAGCTGACTAACAAATATTTTTTTAATAAGTGAACTAAGAAATGTGATAAATCTTGTTCTTGCCACAGAATGTATGTCTGGCCCTATTGACAAGAAATTGGATTTTGATTGATGGCGAAACTAAAGTAGGTAGGCAATAATGCATGGTCCTAAATTCCTTAACTTTTCCTTAAATGTCTCAGACAATCTTCAGCCGTTTGGAACCTATCAAAATTCACGAATGACTCTACACTGGAAATAAAGGCCAGTGGGTGGCATGCCATCCTACCAAATCATAGTAAGCAAACACCAAATGTATTTACTCTTAGTATGCTAATAACAAGGTCAAACCTTGAAATAGAATTATTTTCACAGAAACAAAATTGTCATTTGAGGTCATGCATAAGGTCAAAGAAACTTGTAAACCACCATTAACAAATCTGCTCATTTAATTCATTCAGAAAATGAAAGCCTTTTCCTTCTCTAGATAACCTTGATCCTTAAGCATACCATAAATGGATTATGGAAGGATATATAGGTGTCACATGCCTACCTTCCGTTTTGTTCAAAGTTAAAAAGTTCTTTAAACCATGTATTGCATGAAATATTTAATTACAAGGCAAATTCCACATCCTGGTCTATTAGACTAGATTATATGATATGATAGTCGATAAGCTAGATGAACAGGGGATTATAATCATTAAGGATTGTGATGGAAAAGCAACTGAAAAGCACATGCACAAAAAAGACACAGAGATGTTGAATGTCTTTAAAGGGAGAATGAAAGGAAACAAGAATACGAGAGAAAAAGCCCTCAAAATGATTAAACTAGCAAGTAACATTATAATACCTTGCATAAATGAATACATATAAATCATTTTTCAGGAGTCAGAAGAGGATAATAATGAGAGAAAATCATTTAAAATGATATGAGCATGTGCTTATGAGAATTTTGGATATGATAATCAGAATAGACAAAATGATTAACGTTACTGGTACGAGAAGAGATAGAGAAAAACCTAAAAAGACTTTAATAGAATCTATAAATAAAAATTTAAATACTCAAAGTTTAACTAAACATATGACTTTTTATAGATCTCAATGGCAAAAAAGACTCATATAGTTGACCCCAAATAGTTGGGACTTGCGGTTTTGTTGTTGTTGTTGTATTTTTTTAGGGGTCAAGAGATAGCTCTTATTCTCTTTTACCTTTGTCTCTATTTCATATTTCCTCTTCCTGTGCTTAATACCTTTAAAATATTAAGCACACTGTAGTCAACAGAAATTCCAACTTTTGAGTTTTTCGTGTGTGCATTTTTTTTTGACTCGGTTCCTTAGTAAAATGATTATAAGGATAAAGTTTGCTGGGTTTATCATAGGCATCTTGTCATCCATTGAAACCTTGCCATAAACACTCACAAAAAATTAATCTTTCATAGAACAAATTATTTTGAAGAACAAGATTTTGAAAGATATAAAGATCTTCCCCACAAATCAGCACTCTAAAATCACAATCAGAAAAACATATAATGACATGTTTAAGACTGTTGTAGAGACCATGCTGACTGATGATAAAAAAATTCCACCAATCCCTTGTCAGCTCATTTTATTCAAATGATCATATCGATGATCAATGCCCAAAATATCCGTTTGCATTTTCCACTAGAATAATCATGCAAAACCTTCCATCTACTGCAAGACGTACTACTACCTACTGCCAGTTACACAGGATAAATAAAAAACAAAACATCCAATTTGTCAAGATATAAAACAAACAATTTCAAGCATTCCCAAATTACAAGACTAAATTAAATGCCCAAAGAATAAACATATAGAATGTGTATCGACCACAAAAATAACAGCTACCAAAAACCACATTTTAAATGGGAAATCTCATTCCAGATCCAGAAGTCAGTTACAGTCAATGGATTTTCACAGAACTGAAGGTTAGATACTAAAACCAAATTCAGGCACCATCCATCAGCATAAAAGTTGTTTCTCTGAGGCTCTCCTTCAGATATTTGAAGGAGATAAGACACAAGAAATGAGCAACAACGAAAAGATGAGAAGAGAAACCGATTTCCCCCTCGTTGTTTGGATATATGAGGGAAAAAAATATGAAGCAATCAAATGTTCTCTTCTTTACACTGGGCAGAAGAAAAGGTGAGATTTCTTTCTTTTTGCCATCAGCTTCTTTGCTAATTATGCAGTGGAAAAGGAGAACTAATTTTCTCTTCTGCAGATTCTTTATGGTGCACATAGAACTAACTCCTCCTTGACTTTCCTTTCCATTCTCCTTTTTTGTGGTTCGAGATCTAGGGACCGCAGGATTTAAAAGATCCTTCACAACTATTGAACAATGAGAGAAAAATGAAGCAACTGGAATGTAAAGCTAAAAGTGAAAAGGGCAAGATAGGAGAAAGAGACTGAGTTGTGGACAGCAATATCAACAATTTCTAGTCTATGAAACTCGGTATCATATCCAAGTTAAACAGGAAAGAACCACATCAATTTCTTATAGCATTGTAACACATACAGAAATTAGCAATACGAGATGTCCATACAAACCCACTCTCTAAAACATCCAAAAACCACACCTCATGCAAAGCAAAACCCACATACTGAATCAAGCGCTACCGATAACAAGATCAACGATCTTTATGAGAAACCAAATATGATCTAGGTTCAGAGGAAATTATGCTGCGACAAAAAAAACACTGACCTCCATCCCACGGTGTATCATCGGGGCTGCAACCAAATCCAGACCAAGAAAAAAGAAAACCCATTATCGAAAGATCTAATTTTTAACATAAAGATCCGATCTTTAACCAAAAGCAACACGAAATCGAACGGTTAAGAACGGTGCCTCACCCAAAGATCACGGCGTTCCACAGCATGATGTTGTTCTCGTGCGGCGCCCCGCTGATCCCCGCCGGCGGATCCTGCTGCAGCCTCTTGAAATCCCGCATCAACCGCTTCCTCGCCGGCGTCGACATCGATCTTCTCTACCCGAAAAGATGCAATCTTTCCTCGATTTCCTCCACTTATTTATGCTCTCCTCTTCCCTCTCTCTCTCTCTCTCTCTCTCCAAGTCGCTTCTTTCTTCCCAGTGGAAAAAAAGAAGGGAAGATTGCGGAATCGAAAGCTGGGCACCACTTGGAACGGAGAATATGAAGCCTCTTATATTCTAATAATGAAGAATATGTCATCGGTTGCCGTCTCTTTATCTCTTCTTTTTCCGGTGCTACAAAAAAAGTGCCCAAAATTACAACTGCTGATTATTGATGAGTTGCATTAAGCTTCTCATCGTCCACCGACTCATTGGACCTTCGTCAATTCATGGTCAAATTTGAACGGTTCTGAGTGACGGACAAGAGCTGGACAGCGGCTCGGTGTATGCCATAACGCATAGGATCAGATTCCTCCTCTCTTTTGTTTGTATTACCATAAAGTGTTACAACTCAAAAAACAAAAAAATTGTCCTTTTTGTTTGCAGGGATAAGACTGAACATAATAATTTGCAATGAACTCAGAAAAGATAATAATAGAGGCAAAATTGTTCTTTTTTTATTTTTTTAATTTCGATTTTTTTAAAATCAATCGATTTTTTAGATTTGAAGTCAAATCTATCGATTTCGATTTTTTAAAATCAAAAGTTGGAACCATCGATCATCGGGCTAGTTCGATTCTGATTCTAGTACGATCGAATAATCATAAACAAGAAACTAAAAGAATAAGCTTAGCTCGGACTGCTATCAGTAGTTGTTACCAAAAGAATAAACTTGGAATTTTGCTATTGCTGTGAGAGATTATTGACAGCCAGAAATCCATATGATACTTACTGCAACTACTCCAATTGCATCATCACCATGTTCGATGGGAATGTATTCTGGAGGGGAGCGGGAACTCCTCCAATTGTGTCAGCCTATCACTCAATTCTTTTCTGTTCACGCATGAATGAGACATCAGACTTGTCATTTAAATGCATCTTTCAACAAAGATAATCTTGCTGCCGTAGATCTTCCTTCCCACAGTGACTAAGATAAAAAGAGCCATTTATCACGGCTTCAATTTTCCTTTATATGATTGAATTCAGTGCGTAGATCTGTTCGACTAAATATATAGTTTGAGGAGCTCTACGGGAAGAAGAGTTTGCTGGATGAATTATCCACCTCAAATCGACACCATTTTGAGGCTAAAACAATTTAATCCAAGCAATGCATTTGTTCAGCAATACGGGCACTTTGGAATGCATCAATTTCCAGTACAGAGCATTGCAGTGCAGTAGAACAGTAAATAAGTACATCAATGCGCCCTCAATCTTGCCCAACAAAAGAAATCTCTGCCTTTAAGTTGCAGCCTCCCATTCTTCCTTCCAGTATGAAGTGGAAAGCATATGCATCTCTTCAATGCTGTTAAAAGCTAGCCTTACACCATGAACTATTTAGGAATAAAGGAGAAGGGTTGCTGCAACCAGCAATGGTGCATGTCATTCTGGTATCTTATTGTAGACAAACTACACTTGTCTTTCCCTCAAAAGAGACGAGGACAAAAGAAACATGATGCTGAGAGTTCAATGCCTTCTTGCATGCCATGGTTTGTATTCATTCCTGCAAGAGAGAGAGCAGTTCATTTCCTACATTGAATGGCATGTGCTGACTCCTACAGTCCTATTTGGTATGGCAACACTCAAGAATGTGACATGGTACCTAATTTTGAGGATATCTGAGTGGCACCAACCCAGAAAATGGCACTAGGATTCTGGCAACAGGACAAGATAAACTCAAACAAGATGCAGATGTCAACATACCTAGTAATGTTTTCTTTTGCATCATCATCATTAGGGTATGTTGTCTGCTAGATAAAGCAGATCAGGGGAGTTATAATTATAAATCTTTGGAAAAACAACAAATGCTCAGTATACTCAGAAATTGAGTAGAAGAACACTGCTACCTATGATCATGGTTGTTTCATAGGGATGACATCAATGTTGGAAGACAGTTCAGACAAACAAAAATAAAGAGTGTCTTAAGTTTGAGGACAACAAAGCTGGTAATTACTCACAGGATGATATAGGTAGTGTGTGAAGCTAAAGGAGTGAGACCAATATATTATCTTTTGGCAATTTACAGTGCTACTTTTTGTCTCAACCAATGCCATTAATATGCAATTGCTTGATGAGGAAGATGACACAGATGGCCATTTAATCATATCTGCACTCTCTTCTTTGTCCTTTTTTTTATGCTAACCCTTCTGCCAATTTCCTATCTTCACAGAGGAATTATATTGTCTGCACTCCAAACAGAGAAGTTCTGGTTGGGGTGTGCAAAAGTTGGTGCTGAATGGTTCTGAACATTGAGGAGGATTTGCAAGGAGGCATTTAGTAGTGAGATGCATACTTCATCGTTTTATCCTTTCAACAAGAAAAGATTAAGATATATTATACAATAGTTAGAAGAATGATTAGAAACGAAGGTAATTACTGGATAGCAAAAGCAACATTTCCATTCAGGTTTTTAGCATTTCTATTTACAAAGTCAATTTAAATGGATCGAACGGTCTGATTTGATTTCGATAACTATAAATAATTAAACTAATTTAGGTACTAATTCTTCATGTTTTTAATATATATATTTTTTTATTATATATTCTTCGCTTTTCATAACTATAAATAGTTAAACTAATTTAGGTACTAATTTACTTTTACAAATAAGAAAAGTAAAAAGAGGTTAGCTATAGTTTTATAATAAAATAATATCATGTATAATTTTATTATGAAAATTCACTCCGTTTTATTGCCCTTTTAATTGATGTCCATGTTTATGACATTAACTCTTTTTTCTCCATTTAATGGTGTTATATCTCTCAAACTTAATCATGTGATATATTCTTTAACTAATTTTGCTAGATTAAGACTCATTTCACAGTTCTAGAGATCTGAATTTTAAGATAGTTTTTATATAAATTTTAATCTTAAAAAAAAAACTTATTCATGACTCATAAATGAGACAGCAAATAAAAAGTAGTGAAATGATTTATTATGCAATTGAAAACTAGATAATTTTTTAAATCTCCTTAATTTTGATCATTACATGGTAACAAAATCTTGATTACAAAATATTTGCTAATTAATTATTAGAGATTTTGCTTATCAATATCCAAAGAAAGGCACCACTGGAGGACGGCCGCACTCTCGCCGACTACAGCAGCCAGGAGGAGTCCACGCTCTTTCTGGCCCTCCGACTCCGCGGCGGCATGCAGATCTTTGTGAAAGTGCTGACGGGGAGAACCGTGACGATTGAGGTGGAGAGCTCCGACACGGTTGCCGATTCGAAGGCCAAGATCATCCACCACAAGGATCATGTTAGCCACCCCGACCATTTCAGACTCCTCGACGGGGTGAAACAGCTCGAGGATGGCAAGACGCTCGCGGACCATAACGTTTTCAAGGAGTCTACCCTCCGCCGCCTCCTCCGACTCGGTGGCGGCACGCCGAACCAGTGCAACCGATGACTGCTGCTTGCGCCTGCTCCTTGTGCTCGTTCGACATTAGTAGTTGCAGGGTTTCCAGCTTGATGATCGATAGCTACTGAGTTGAATTAGCTTAGTTTCGTAGTAATCTTAGGAGATCGGAATTCTTGGCTCAAAGTTCTTTCGATCGAGATTATTGTTGTGTTATTCCGCTGGAATTTAATTTGGTCTTAGATTGTGACGATTAAAAAGCATGAATAAACCAATTTAAATTTAGTATGATAGAAGAATCGGATCCTACAATTCACAATTATGCGTTTTGTGAGTCCATTAGGCACTGTTTTACCTAAAACGGAAGATTTCCATTCATCTTACCATAGGCTAATTTTAGATTAGCTCTAGTAGTTAGATGTACTTAGTATTTCGATTTTAGACTTTAAAAAATTATATTAGAATTTCTATAATTATAAAGGTAAAGTATCTAGTTTTATTTATCCTAACGTAATTATTTTTATCGATGAAAACATAAAAATGATGAACAAAAATATAATTTTAATATCTCGATTATGTTTTTGATTGTGGGTGGAGTGATGACAAAAGGTGAGATAAAAGGAGAGAAGGAAGATAATGATACGAATGTTGATTCTCTAGTGTCGCTAAGTAATTACATTGACATCAACATAGATGACGAGCGACGTTTCCCATATCGTTGGCGACGTCGATGCATATATAAAGCGATGTAGCTTTGCATCTATATTTGCGTCAACATCGAGTCGAGTTGCCCTTTCATCGTTCTACATCTATGTCGGTACCGACGCAAAAGCAAAACATTGGCATCTACGTCGTCCTGTTTCTCCTCTCCCTTTATCTTATCTCTCGATGTCGCTCTTTCTCCTCATTCACAATAACCACTCGCAACTCTCGATGACGTCGTCATTCGCTACCATCGAAAATATAATGAGAATATTTTTAAAAAAAAATTCATCATTTTTATGCTTTAATTAGTATAACCGATGACATTATGGTAAATGAAGAAAGATGTTTCACTATATAAGGAGTTCAATATAAATTTTTTAAATCTAAAGATTTAAAAAAATATAATAGAACATAATATAATCAGCCCTCTTACCATAATAAGGATGGGGATACATTAATGATTAGTGTTAGTATTATAAAATTATACATCGTTAATCATCTTAAGGGTGAGTTTAAGATAAAAATATTTGGTTAGTTGTTTAATAGTAATTAATTATGATGCTTAATTAAGTGTTTATTATGCTTATGATTATTAAAATACTTGCATTTTAATTAGATTACATGACGGTGTTGATCATTTAAACAAACCTATATGAACCTAAAACTGATAGCAAGTTGAACAATAGCAATTCAAATGATCTTATATAGTAATCACGAAATATTCCAAGTTAAATCATATTTACTAAACTAGAGATCGATCGATGTCCAATCAAGTTCTAATGACTCTAACAAGAGATAATAATGAGATTATAAAGAGAGCCTAATAGAACAAAAGATTTTGGGATGAAAATTTACTTGCAATCATTAGACTAATTACTTTTGAGATTAAAAGCTAGAAATGACCCCACATCCCCATCAGAATAATGGTGAGAACATATGTCGCTCCTTGTGAGAAACTACCTCTTCTTGTAAAATGACAGTAGAGAAACCAAGAAAGACATACTTTTCACCCATCAATTTTCTTCTTCCAAATAGAGAGATGCACATCTTCGATTCACAGCACGGTGATATAATCAAGTGAAGAGTCTGCATAAGAGTTAGTCTAAGGACAAGTGCATGTACACTAATATTATCCGTTGTCATTTATCATGATGATGACGATGATAAAAATAATGAAAAAAGGATCAACACATTTATTTGTCACTTGCCACCGCAACATTCGTCATGGATTCTTATCGTAGTTTACCGAAGATTATAGTGACTGACAGGCATAAATCAAGACAAATGGTTCCAGAAACTCCTGCAAACTCAACACTTGACGCTTGGTAAAGAGCAATTGCATGGAAAGCAGACCAATTTGAAAAAGAAAAAGGAAACATAATGATTGACAAATAAATAAATAAAGCTGTTGAACCGAAGAAATCTCGGAATAAACAACACTTGAAATAGGTTTCAGGTATATTAATAAGAAAGCAGCAACAAATAGTAACACCTTGCGAGGAGATGCTTTGTTGTGGATAATTCAATTGTGACAGCATAAATGATAAAACAAACAAATAATGTTCACTAAAGCAGACTGCTAACTCTTCCAATCAAACAACGGCTTATTAGATTTCATAAGATAAATCCTGCAGTAAAAAAATCTGCCTCATGGTACATGCATCACCTGAATTGACTGCAACATGTCAGACAGGGCAATGACCAGGTCACCAGACTGGATCATTCCTCTTGCCTTGAGCAGAGAAAAAGTCCGGTTGAGGTTGCTCTCCATGTCATCAGAGAAACTCAGACGGAAGGGTATAAGACCCCATTGAAGGTTCAAGCGTCTCCTCACAGATGTCGAGGATGTAAATGCAAAGATCGGACAATCAGGGCGGCACCGTGAAAGGAGAGAAGCCATGTGACCTGTCTTTGTGTAGACAAAGACAGCATCTACTCCCAAGGTGTTAGCTGCAAAGCATGAATAGTATCATGAGAAACAAGGAAGTTCAAAGCACGGTTAGCAGGATCAGGAACAACAAACAAGCTCTTAAATTTATTGGCACAGCATCAATAAGGATTCGAAGACTTAAATTTCCCAAACCAGAAGCTTAAACTTCAGCAAAATGTTCTTGAAACATTTAATTAACATAATATCAAAATACTAAAACTCCTAAAAATTCTGATGTATAAATAGATAATTCAATAGATTTTTTTTTTAAGTTCAAGTACTGATGAATGGTTAACAACACCATTTCATGGTTAGAAGAGTTTGAGCTAAGGGATAACTCCGCAAGGACAAAATAATTTGTATTAGAAGTTATGTTTCAAGAATTTTGCCAAGGAATAACTGCAAGGACAAAGATTTCATTAGTAGTAGTTATGTTTAAATTTGAACGAATAACTCCACAAGGACAAGCTTTTCATCAGTAACAATAGTTCAATCTCTTCTGCTTCAGCAAAAGATCAAGTAGAGATTCATACAAGCATGCATAGACAATTATAAACCAAAAAGTTTTAAGAACCCACCCACCTTTTACTATGCTTTTATTCCATGAACATATCCCTGAGTTACACAGAGACAATGCCTATCATTTCAGCAAGTGTCTTAGGTGATTCTCAGAACGAAGCACCTTCAGAATGACCAACAAAATTCTAATAAAATTCAAATAGCTAAAATTCAACATGATGAGGCTTACCCATTTTCGCAGCAGAATTACAAATTTCCTCTGAGATTTTGTCAGAAAAAGACGATGTGATATCTGGAAGTTCCATTCCTTCATGGCGTTTCTCCTCTCTCCACCACCTTTCAATCCGTAGACTTACACTTCTAAGCACAATCAGAGCCTTTTCTGGGTATTGGCCCATAGCTGACTCACCAGAGAGCATTAAAGCATCTGCCCGTTGCCTAACTGCTTCAGAAACATCAGCAACTTCAGCTCTAGTCGGTGTAGGGTACTCAATCATAGAGTCAAGAAGCTGAGAAGCCACAATTACTGGCTTGTTTAGCTGTCTGCAAAGTTTAACAATCTTTTGTTGAGCTGACGGCACTTGCTCAAGTGGAATTTGTGCACCCAAGTCTCCCCTGGCAACCATTGCTCCATCTGATGCACGAATAATCTCTTCCAGATTTTTCAATGAATCTATACTCTCAATCTTTGCAACGACTGCAATTTCTCTGTAGAACATAATGTAGATCATTCATACAAGGTTCAATTTTGTTTTTCAATCGAAAATAAAAACAACAAACAGGGTCATGCAACTTTCTGCAGGTTTGCTTTATCATATGAGAACAGACAAACATAGAGTGCACGAAATCTGCAGGAAAAAGATCCTTCCAGAAACCATAGAAACTTTGGTGACAATGAATATCCAGAAAGAAAATTTAAATAAATAGGTGTATTCCATAGTTACTTCTTTTGGTCATGGTTTAATATCAAAAGCTACAAAAGATAGAAAATGATGAAGACAAATAAAGAGCAATTTATGTTTTAATCACCAAGAATCAGGAAATGCAGGGGAAGATTTTATATTTTTCTAAACCATGGATTGAGGTACCAACCCCTACTGCTCCAGCCAAATTCAAACCATAGCAAACAGTCTTAATCCAAACCAAAGCAGACCATGGGTAAATTGAACAATATAGGTCGGTACTGGTCCATTATATCTCAACAAAAGTCCAAACTGTACTCCAGCCAACCAATTCCAAACCTAGCCCATAGCTCACAAGGGACTTCAGACTTCATCTAAACAAACGATCTAATAGAGATAGATACCTAGGACTTGATCTAGTGTGTTAATCCTAACCACTAACATGATGAGATTCTACCAACATATCTAATGTGTTAGTCATAACAAGTAATACGATGGGATTCTACCAACATCACGGCATAGGACCCCTCTTAGGAACACATTAATTTGTGACTTCTTGTTGATGCTCAAAGATCTTAAAAGGTAGGCTTTTGAGATGATGTATTGTACTTGAATCATTCGGCGGCCATGTCTTGCTTTAATTGGTTATGTTATATTGCAATTGTCTGTTTGACTCATTAAGTTATCACTTATTATTTTTTCATTGAGATATCTAATGCTCATAATATATCTTATACTCCCAGATTATATGGATGGTCACAAGATATCTCAGGTGATAAACCATTATTCAGGACAATCCAAAACTAAAAATTTATATGCATGTTTATATGTTTTTCATTGTTCAACACACTTTGCCAACCAACATTATCGACCTAGAACATTGCACTCAGTATGGTACATCACACTCAATCCATGATCTGAACGATGCACTTAAATGATCAGATAAGATGTGATGGAGCTTTCCAAAATGTTGAAGTCCCACAGTTAGATATAAC